ACACGGAGTGTAGAGAAGAATCAAATTTTTCTTTAGATTATTTTAATCCCTATAATAGAGAGATGAGGAAGAGTCAGTGTTCAAATAATGTTTAATGAACGAAAACCAGAGTTTTATTTCTTAAAGAGTTCCCCTTTGATGTCACTTCCTGTTTCACTTTGAGCAAATTTCCAAAGAAAATATGCCAATTATGTGACATAATGGGTAAAATCATGTGTGTCAAGTTTCTTAAATATAAAGATGTTTTCTTTAACTTTTTGTATTTCATGGATATGTATGTCACAGGCACTTTAAACGCCATTAATTGCAACTGGGAACTGGGAAGCCTGAAAACACTTCTCTGTTTTTATTTTACTGACAGTAAATTTTGTAAATATGTTGTTCTTATATTGCTGAAATGTCTCAATGAAATCAAACTTTAAAATAGAGCTTTAATGCAGTTACTGTGAACACTTGAATCTTGACTCGGTTGTGCCAGTTTCAGTTACCCTGTTCAGGTATTAATGATGGTGAAGCTCTGTCTCATCAGATTTCTAAATGATGCGTAGCATGAGAACCGTGACTTCTGTTGTGTTAATGTGACGTGATGAAGATACGTTACCATGTGAGAGGATGTGAATARTGTTGGATGATGTGCTGAGCATTTTATGTTGTGTTTAAACGTGAGGAGGGCCCGTACTGCATTAAATAGTGTGCCAGTGTGGGTTTAATGCCTCAAACATTGGATAGGATCATTTTCATACAGACTCGTTTTTGCTTTGTAGGGTAAATAGAACCTTTTTAAAGATGAGATATTTTTAAATGTTTTTTTTTTCAGTAAAGCATTTCACAATGTTTTGCTTCTGTTGGGTTTTAGAGCAATCGTGTGGCCAGAGATCACGCCCTGACAGAGACTGACACTGAGCAGCTGAGACAGTTGAGTAACAGGGACCCTCTGTCAGAAATCACTGAGCAGGAGAAAGATTTTCTCTGGAGGCACAGGTAAGCAAATAAACTAAAGTAAGTAACCACAGATATCCTGCCTCTATAGAACTATAGGTTACAAACTACCATATTTATTCATACAATCATCATTTTTTGAGATTGCAGAGCACAAAAAAATCTATAACCTGCGAACCTCCCACGCTTTATGGATGATTTTTAGGGTTAAATTTCTAGTATTATACATAAATAAACGCAGTAGATACTAGGCCTGTCACGATAACAAATTTTGCTGGGCGATTAATTGCCTAAAAAATTATTGCGATAAGTGATAATA